ATTGGAGAAAGAAATAGGGGAGCCATAGAGTATAGGTTTTACACTTTTAAGTTTTTTATGCTTTTTCTTTAGGCTTCTGTGAAAGATTATGGATTGAGTCTTGGCTGAGTTGAGAATAATTCTTCACTTGTTGCACAAGATTATGATTTTATTAATTATCTTTTGCAGTGTAGAGGCGGGGGTCCATAGAAGTGCTCCATATTGAAATGTTGTCAATGTATTAGGATGCATGCATGCATGAGTGTTGTGGCAGATTGTGGAAGGTCATTGAAAAATATTGAAAGCTAATCAAAACACTTCTGGGCTGTCATGATGTTACTCCACCTTTTTTTCACACTTAACTTTATTTAGTCATTCTTATTTTGCCCAGATGAAGAAAAATACACCTTTAGAAAATGCTATGGTTATAAGGTTTTCTATTTTTTTTTTTTTTGTCTTAAACCAATATTTTTGAACTTGCCTATTTTAATAACATCATGAAGTATTTTTACCTAATTAAAACTAGTTACAGTACAACAATATTATAGAAGTATTTCAGCAAAATTGTATTACATAATATACTTAAGAACTAATAGAACATTATTTATGGAATGTAGCCACATTAGAGATTTAATCTATTTAGAATAAACATTTATGTTTTCGTGTTATAATTTGTAGTCTTTCTAGAATGAAAAAAGCATAATTTATATTCATTTCCTAATTTTTTATGGTGAATATAACAGATAAAATATACAGTTTTTTTCTTGAAAAATGCTTGACAATTATCTGGAGGTTATAAAGATTTCGCATATAAAATTTGAAAATTTTCTGATGCATATAAATATTTTTAATCTTAAAATCAAAATTACTTTCATATTGGAAAGTCAAAATTCAAAAAACGAATGAGAAAAACATTACTTAAAAAATCTTAAAACTTAATAAAAATATCTGATACTTGTAATGTTTACTGATAATCTGAAAGATATGCTTACTAACTTAAAAGTTATAGCACGATATCTATAACAATCACAAAATGGTTATGAGGTCATTCCATGCCCCTGAGCCCGTGATGAAAGAGTTAACAGGTCAGTCCTGCAGTAGTAAACATTTCATACAAAGTTATTTATAATTAATAAAAAGCTAAAGTTTTAATCTATCAAAAGATGTGTTATATTACATTGATTTTTTGTACTGTCAATCTGTTGTTCAGTTTCAAAGTTTTTCTCATGGGAATCAATAGACAAGTTTAACTGAATTTTTAAAGGCCCTTACTGCATAGTTAGAAAACCAGAAAATTTATAATAGTTAGAGCAACCATTTTTTTTTGTGTTATTATTTTGTGTTCTTAAATGCATTATATAATTAAATAAAAACTGAGTGGTACCAATATTTTAAAAAGTAGGCTTAAATTTCATTGACAGTCGACAGCAAAAATAAAGAAGACCCAGGTAAGAACTATATTTCTTGTTTTATTATGTGTATTTTTATCTATTATTATT